ACCCTCACCACACCCACCCCTACCCCTCCACTACACACCCTCCTACCCTCCACCACACCACCACACCACCCCCTACCCTCCACCACACACCACCACACCACCCCCTACCCTCCACCACACCACCCCCTACCCTCCACCACACACCACCACTAACACGCCCCATGGCCGCAACACCATAAAACTATCACTGTCGGCCGGTGTGTGGGATAACATCGCCTTCATCATCATTAACAAACTCCAAACAACTTCTTAATTCACCCACAACTCACTAACTTCCGACTTCCCTCCTGAGAGTCAACATGGCCTGATCTCCGTCACCTTCACCTTCCTGTTATCTAGCAATAGTTCCTGGTCTAGTGGCTTCAGGAGGCAATAAACATCGTGGCTAAATATTGATGACTAAAACTTGATAAAAATAAACATGACTCTTATACCGTAATGAATGTTTAGTGCACGATTCCCCTCCATAAATTAACAATAATTATAATGAAAACTGATATAAAAACGATTAGAATGAAATAAAACTGTAAATCAGCTATTACAGTCATGGTAAGTTTGTAATATTCCTCTTCTGGGGAACAAAAACCTGTATTCAGATTCAGGGAAGATTGAAACTAACTAAGAGAGAGTTACGACTGTCATTAATACAGTGGTCGAGCTCTGGGAAGCCTTCAATCACAGGCACAAATGTTACTTACTCCTTTGAGGTCAATTTCAGGGTTGCAAGACTCTAATTTTCTGTCTATTATAACTTGGCTGTGAGTAATGGCCGCCAGGTATTGACCACAGCGTGTCACGTTTATTTACAAACTCGCCTTTGCCCTCACACACCCATTATGGTTTCCCATTTCTCTCACCAGGTTTTTTTCGCTTACTAACTACAAAGTTCTTCTCTGGCTCTCTCTCTCTCTCTCTCTTGCATCCATTACTGTTTGTCGCTTGCTTTTCTTTTTTTCTAACTGATCTATTATTCTCTCCCTCTCTCTTCCCCTCTTTCATTTGCTTTATCTTGCCAGCTACGGTGACAATGTCTCTTCTTCTCTCTTCACCACTTTCATGGCCTTTATTTTCTCCCTTCCCTGTACGTGATCTACACGTAGTGGACACACAGAGAACCTTAATGGGTAAGCAGCATGCAAGGCTCTTGGTCTTCTGCACACGGTGGGATAACTCTACCCAAGGTCGCACCACCACCATTATCACCACCATCATTATCACCAACACCACCATCACCTCCAACAACAACACGACCACCACCAATACCATCACACCATTACTATAACCACCACCTTCTTCCCAAACACTAATGACAAGTGAAGGTCTATCTTCCTCAAGTAACATCACAACACAAGTTCCTCCAGTATCACGTGTTGGGACCATCATTATCTTAGGGTTCACCATCAACCAAAGCTTCTTATTTTATGCAGACAAAAAGATTTCTGTAAACATTCACTTTGTTTGATGGTTGAATACCCTAACGTAACGTGTGGGGGGGGGGGTGTTATGTAATGTTTGTTATGATAGGGTAGATTAGCGTTACAGTGAAATAAGCTGGGTGTAAGGTGGCTAATCTACAGGTTATCTCAACTACACCCCCAAGATGATAACACGAGATGGTTGAAGTTACTCAAGGTTAGGTCCTGGCATCCCCCCACTCCCAGGATAGTAAGGTCTTTGTAACTGGTCTACCGAGAAATTAAGGCGTTATTGGCGGTGAATATTTCATGGTAGTAAACACCTGAGCAGGAATACGGGTGCGTGACAGCCTATTACTGTCAATAGTGACCTGTTTACTTTATCTATATGTTCACACACACACACACACACACACACACACACACACACACACACACACACACACACACACACACACACACACACACACACACACACACACACACACCATAGGTTATCACTTGTATATTGATGTTATTCAGTAATTAGAGATTTACTTGGGGCCTTAGCCGGATCTAAGCTGATTGTTATTAATGCATAACTAAATGCACTTACTCATTTGAGGTGTTTATATACACTACAAGATTCTGACTTTGATCCAGAAACCAAATTAATAATAATAATATCTCTACTTCTTGCACCACCACCACCATTAACAGTCATCCGAGGTATACACTATTCCCCAACAAGCACCATAAGGCGGAAACATAACTCATAATATAATGCATTTAAAGTGTCGTAAATCTCCCCTGATGGCTGTGTAACGTCTCAAGACAAAAATTACTCCTCAGCTGACTTTTTCCTAACCTGAAGTAAAATATGGAGGCTATTTAGTTCCTGCGGGGCAAAGATCCGGTCTCGAGGGCTGGCTGGCTTCGTGTTTTGGGAGGTTCACACTAGGGGGGAGGGGGGAGTTGGTAGGGGAGAGGGGGGGGTGGAGGAGAGATGATAGAGGTAGGTGACTTTATTGAGATTTTTTTTCTATAAGGAACGTTTTTGGAGGCAGCGATATACTTATATAAGTTTTGGCGGGAAAGTTCGACAGCGACATTTGGCGGGAAACTTCAAGATAAAATATGGCGGGAAACTTAAAGATAAAATTTGGCGGGAAACTTAAAGATAAAATTTGGCGGGAAAGTTTCGGAGTAATTTGGACAGGAAAAAGGTTCGCCCGCGTATGCTAATGCACCTTCCTCTGAATATCACAAACAATACCGTGAAAAAATAAATACAAACAAACAGATAAACAGACAGGAAGCAGATAAAGCTAAGGAGAGAATAAGATACCTGGAACAAAATAGACACACAGAAACGAAGAAGAAACAAACAAACAAACGGACCTCGTACAAGTCTCAGATGATGACGATGGTTATTATGAGAGAATTAAAAATATATATAAATAAGAAATAAACCAAATGATTAACAGAGAGCTGAGGTCGACCACTGATGCCATGTTTCACACTCACTCACTCACCTCATCCAGTATCTCTGAAAGGCTCATATGATTACTAAATTTATTCACTCGTAAGTTATGTATGGGTGACTGTGACCACCAGCTATTAAGGTCTTCCTGCTGTGTTGTGTGAGACTTGTGTTGACCAGATCAGCTGTTTGGTGTGTTAAAAATTGTGTTTGGTTATTTCATGGATCACCTGAGGATTAGCACCCCCCCCCCGCTAACCCCCGCAGCACCCTAACGTTAACTCTAATCTAACCTTACATAACCTAATCTAACCATAAATAAACTAACCTAAGTAAATGTAATCTAACCTAACCAACTTATTTATGACTTAATAATATGGCTGATTTTTTTAATGGTAAATATTTAGACGTATTTTTATATTATTCTTTATATTTTTATTCACCTAAGAATCTTTTTATATCAACCCGGCTTAAATTGTTTTGTTTTTTATATTAATCAAAGTCTATATTTAACTGGTAATCCTTTAGTCATTTTGTTTAAATAACCAACAACAACAATAACAATAAATGATAAATATACTTGAACGAACGATAGACTTTTTCATTATTTTATTTTAGATATTTTATATAAATTTTCAAAGTTTTTCTCGATCGATTCCATAAAACGTCTTTAATTTGTGATTTATACGTACGTGTGTGTGAGTGTGTGTGTGAGTGTGTGTGTGTGAGTGTGAGTGTGTGTGTGTGAGTGTGTGTGTGTGAGTGTGTGTGAGTGTGTGTGTGTGAGTGTGTGTGTGAGAGTGTGTGTATGTGTGTGTGTGTGTGAGTGTGAGTGTGTGTGTGAGAGTGTGTGTGTGTGTGTGTGTGAGAGTGAGTGTGTGTGTGTGTGAGTGTGTGTGAAAAAGTGTGGAGTGTGAGTGTGTGTGTGGTGAGTGTGTGTGAGTGTGAGGTGTGTGAGTGTGTGTGAGAGTGTGTGAGAGTGTGTGAGTGTGAGTGTGTGTGTGAGAGTGTGTGTGTGTGAGTGTGAGTGAGTGTGTGTGAATGTGAGTGAGTGTGTGTGTGAGGTGTGTGTGTGTGTGTGTGTGTGTGAGTGTGTGTGTGTGTGTGTGTGTGTGTGTGAGTGTGTGTGTGTGTGTGTGAGAGAGTGTGTGACCTTAACTTCCATACACACCCAAAAGCCTCCCTCGGAGCTGTGTGCCGCGCTCATCTGCATGTGTTAATGACCTCTCGGATCTTCCTATTTACAGAGATAACTTTCTTGCTTTGAAGGCTACCATCTCCCTGCTTCGGACGTAGCGAGAGAGAGAAGTGTGTGTATTTATGTCTCAAGAAATAATTATGTCGTTAAGGTAGTAGGCAGCTACCGAACAGGGAGGTACTACCGCCTGGGAAGATATTGGAAGCATAATGTATTGTCTAATGGTAGACCCTGCTGCCATATGGCACCACGAAAATTGTGACCAAGTCCCAGGTTGGTAATCTGACTTTCTGCCTCATTTACACACAATTGCAGGATCTCAATTGTTTCACTTACTATTGACTATTTTTGGTCCTTTATTATTATTATTATTATTACCATGATTATCATTATAATATCAGTATTATATTTGATTTAACCTTCTTTATAATTTTGTATTAATAATTATTATAATTATTATTATTATTATTATTATTATATTTTCGCCCCCAGGCCATGATGTGGGTCAGTGACCTATGCCCTGATGGGCTAATCCCGTAAGAAAAAAAATTAACCACAAAAGTAAAGAACAAAAGCCCGCGATAATATTTTCCCTTTGTTTAGGTTTAATTAAAACACGAGATCATGAGCTGTCCTCAAGGGCGATGACGTCACAAAAATACGTCACTATATCTAATTTTCTAACCCAATATTTTACTCGCTGGGGCCCGGCCATGGGACGCGAGCTAACAAAAATGTGTATTTCATCTAAAACATTTTCGCTACAGTCATGGCATTCTCGATTAGTGGTGGTGACCTACAGGACCACGGTGACCTCTGACCTTGACCTGCCTGTGATGGTATCTTTTTCACTAATGTTTTGATGGTTTATTATCATTATTATTAACACTCCCCCTGGCTCCTCAGTCCTCATGTCTGCCGCTAGTGTGAGGTCAAGGTCAAGGCTGGCCCCTGTTACGTCACTCTTATGTCTGCATCTACAACCTGGTGTCGGGTTCAAGATGGCCGCCTCACCTTCACTCTGGTCACGAACGAGAGTCTCTGGGCTCCCTGTGAGTCTCTGGGCTCCCTGTGAGTCTCTGGGCTCCCTGTGATGTGTTGCAGCCTGGCCACGAGGAGAGTCTTGTGTAGCTACCTGTGTTGTTACGTGAGCCTGTTACTGTTACTTGGTTATTATACTTGTGTTATCTGTGTACCTGTATTGTTACGTGAGCCTGTTACTGTGACTTGGTTATTATACTCATGTTACCTGTGTTATTACGTGAGCCTGTTACTGTGACTTGGTTATTATACTTGTGTTATCTGTGTACCTGTATTGTTACGTGAGCCTGTTACTGTTACTTGGTTATTATACTCATGTTACCTGTGTTGTTACGTGAGCCTATTACTGTTACTTTGGTTATTATACTCATGTTACCTGTGTTATTACGTGAGTCTGTTACTGTTACTTTGGTTATTATACTCATGTTTACCTGTGTTATTACGTGAGCCTGTTACTGTTACTTGGTTATTATACTCGTGTTACCTGTGTTGTTACGTGAGCCTGTTACTGTTACTTGGTTATTATACTCATGTTCCCTGTGCTGTTACGTGAGCCTGTTACTGTTACTTGGTTATTATACTCATGTTACCTGTGTTGTTACGTGAGCCTATTACTGTTACTTTGGTTATTATACTCATGTTACCTGTGTTATTACGTGAGTCTGTTACTGTTCCTTTGGTTATTATACTCGTGTTACCTGTGTTGTTACGTGAGCCTGTTACTGTTACTTGGTTATTATACTCGTGTTACCTGTGTTGTTACGTGAGCCTGTTACTGTTACTTGGTTATTATACTCGTGTTACCTGTGTCTGTCTTTATTAGAACAATTGTACCCATTATCTCTCTATCTCTCTCTCTATTTAATTTTAACACGATCATAACATAATTACTGTACATGTTATCTTGAGTGTAATTTTATCTGTTATCTTGGGTGTAATGTTTATCTCTGTTATCTTGAGTGTAATGTTTATCTCTGTTATCTTGAGTGTAATGTTTATCTCTGTTATCTTGAGTGTAATGTTTATCTCTGTTATCTTGAGTATAATGTTTATCTCTGTTATCTTGAGTGTAATGTTTATCTCTGTTATCTTGGGTGTAATGTTTATCTCTGTTATCTTGGGTGTAATGTTTATCTCTGTTATCTTGGGTGTAATGTCTATCTCTGTTATCTTGGGTGTAATGTTTATCTGTTATCTTGGGTGTAATGTTTATCTCTGTTATCTTGAGTGTAATGTTTATGAGTGTATGTTTATCTCTGAGTGTAATGTTTATCTCTGTTATCTTGGGTGTGTAATGTTTATCTCTGTTATCTCTGTTATCGAGTGTAATGTTTATCTCTGTTATCTTGGGTGTAATGTTTATCTCTGTTATCTTGAGTGTAATGTTTATCTCTGTTATCTTGAGTGTAATGTTTATCTCTGTTATCTTGGGTGTAATGTTTATCTCTGTTATCTTGGGTGTAATGTTTATCTGTTATCTTGAGTGTAATGTTTATCTCTGTTATCTTGGGTGTAATGTTTATCTCTGTTATCTTGGGTGTAATGTTTATCTCTGTTATCTTGGGTGTAATGTTTATCTCTGTTATCTTGAGTATAATGTTTATCTCTGTTATCTTGGGTGTAATGTTTATCTCTGTTATCTTGAGTATAATGTTTATCTCTGTTATCTTGGGTGTAATGTTTATCTCTGTTATCTTGGGTGTAATGTTTATCTCTGTTATCTTGAGTATAATGTTTATCTCTGTTATCTTGAGTATAATGTTTATCTCTGTTATCTTGGGTGTAATGTTTATCTCTGTTATCTTGAGTATAATGTTTATTTCTGTTATCTTGAGTGTAATGTTTATCTCTGTTATCTTGAGTATAATGTTTATCTCTGTTATTGTAGTTTATCTCTTATCTTGGTGTGTAATGTTTATCTCTGTTATCTGAGTGTAATTTTATCTCTTCTGGTGTAGTTTATCTCTGTTATCTTGAGTAATGTTTATCTCTGTTATCTTGAGTGTAATGTTTATCTCTGTTATCTTGAGTATAATGTTTATCTCTGTTATCTTGAGTGTAATGTTTATCTCTGTTATCTTGAGTATAATGTTTATCTCTGTTATCTTGGGTGATGTTTATCTCTGTTATCTTGAGTATAATGTTTATCTCTGTTATCTTGGGTAATGTTTATCTCTTATCTTGAGTGTAATGTTTATCCTATCTTGGGTGTAATGTTTATCTCTGTTATCTTGAGTGTAATGTTATCTCTGTTATCTTGAGTGTAATGTTTATCTCTGTTATCTTGGGTGTAATGTTTATCTCTGTTATCTTGGGTGTAATGTCTTCTTGAGTGTATGTTTATCTCTGTTATCTTGGGTGTAATGTTTATCTCTGTTATCTTGAGTATAATGTTTATCTCTGTTATCTTGAGTGTAATGTTTATCTCTGTTATCTTGAGTGTAATGTTTATCTCTGTTATCTTGAGTGTAATGTTTATCTCTTGTTATCTTGGGTGTAATGTTTATCTCTGTTATCTTGGGTGTAATGTTTATCTCTGTTATCTTGAGTGTAATGTTTATCTCGTTATCTTGAGTGTATGTTTATCTCTGTTATCTTGAGTTATCTTGAGTGTAATGTTTATCTCTGTTATCTTGAGTGTATGTTTATCTCTGTTATCTTGGGTGTAATGTTTATCTCTGTTATCTTGGGTGTATGTTTATCTCGTTATCTTGGTATGTTTATCTCTGTTATCTTGGGTGTAATGTTTATCTCTGTTATCTTGAGTGTAATGTTTATCTCTGTTATCTTGGGTGAATGTTTATCTCTGTTATCTTGAGTGCAATTTATCTTGTTATCTTGAGGTAATGTTTATCTCTGTTATCTTGGGTGAACGTTTATCTCTGTTATCTTGGGTAATGTTTATCTCTGTTATCTTGGAGTGTAATGTTTATCTCGTTATCCTGAGTGAATGTTTATCTCTGTTATCTTGAGTGTAATGTTTATCTCTGTTATCTTGGGTGTAATGTTTATCTCTATCTTGGTAATGTTTTCTGTTATCTTGGGTGTAATGTTTATCCTGTTATCTTGAGTGAATGTTTATCCTGTTATCTTGGTGAATGTTTATCCGTATCTTGGGAATATAATGTTTATCTGTTATCTTGGGTGTAATGTTTATCTCTGTTATCTTGGTATAATGTTTATCTCTGTTATCTTGAGGTAATGTTTATCTCTGTTATCTTGAGTGTAATGTTTATCTCTGTTATCTTGAGTGTAATGTTTATCTCTGTTATCTTGGGTGTAATGTTTATCTCTGTTATCTTGGGTAATGTTTATCTCTGTTATCTTGAGTGTAATGTTTATCTCTGTTATCTTGAGTGTAATGTTTATCTCTGTTATCTTGGTGAATTGGTTAATGTTTATCCCTGTTATCTTGGGTGAATGTTTATCTCTGTATCTTGAGTGTAATGTTTATCTCTGTTATCTTGGGTGAATGTTTATCCTGTTATCTTGATGTAATGTTTACTCTGTTATCGTGAATTTATCTCTGTTATCTTGGTGAATGTTTATCTCTGTTATTTGTAACAATTATCCTGTTATCTTGGGTGAATGTACATCTTATTTATCCTGTATCTAACCTCTGAGTGTATGTTTATCTCGTTATCTTGAGTAATGTTTATCTCTGTTATCTTGGTAATTATCTCTTATCTTGGGTGTAATGTTTATCTCTGTTATCTTGAGTGTAATGTTTATCTCTGTTATCTTGAGTGTGTAATGTTTATCTCTGTTATCTTGGTGTAATGTTTATCTCTGTTATCTTGGTGTAATGTTTATCTCTGTTATCTTGAGTGTAATGTTTATCTCTGTTATCTTGAGTGTAATGTTTATCTCTGTTATCTTGAGTGTAATGTTTATCTCTGTTATCTTGAGTGTAATGTTTATCTCTGTATCTTGAGTTATGTTTCTGTTATTGGTTAATGTTATCTCGTTATCTTGGTGTAAGTTTATCTCTATATCTTGAGTGTAATGTTTATCTCTGTTATCTTGAGTGTATGTTTATCTCTTATCTGGGTGTAATGTTTATCTCTGTTATTGAGGTAATGTTTATCTCTGTTATCTGAGTGTAATGTTTATCTCTGTTATCTTGGGTGTACATGTTTATCTCTGTTATCTTGAGTGTAATGTTTATCTCTGTTATCTTGAGTGCAATGTTTATCTCATCTTGAGTGTAGTTTATCTCGTTATCTTGAGTGTAATGTTTATCTCTGTTATCTTGAGGTAATGTTTATCTCTGTTATTCAGATAATGTTTATCTCTGTTATCTTGGGTGTAATGTTTATCTCTGTTATCTTGAGTGTAATGTTTATCTCTGTTATCTTGAGTGTAATGTTTATCTCTGTTATCTTGAGTGTAATGTTTATCTCTGTTATCTTGAGTGTAATGTTTATCTCTCGTTATCTTGAGTGTAATGTTTATCTCTGTTATCTTGAGTGTAATGTTTATCTCTCTCTGTTATCTTGGGTGTAATGTTTATCTCGTTATCTTGGGTAATGTTTATCTCTGTTATCTTGAGTGTAAGTTTATCTCTCTTATCTTGAGTGTAATGTTTATCTCTGTTATCTTGGGTAATGTTTATCTCTGTTATCTTGAGTGTAATGTTTATCTCTGTTATCTTGAGTGTAATGTTTATCTCTGTTATCTTGAGTATAATGTTTATCTCTGTTATCTTGAGTGTAATGTTTATCTCTGTAATCTTGAGTATAATGTTTATCTCTCTTATCTTGAGTATAATGTTTATCTCTGTTATCTTGAGTGTAATGTTTATCTCTGTTATCTTGAGTATAATTTATCTCTGTTATCTTGAGTATAATGTTTATCTCTGTTATCTTGAGTGTAATGTTTATCTCTGTTATCTTGAGAAGTAATGTTTATCTCTGTTATCTTGGAGTGTAATGTTTATCCCTGTTATCTTGAGTGTAATGTTTATCTCTGTTATCTGAGTATAATGTTTATCTCTGTTATCTTGAGTGTAATGTTTATCTCTGTTATCTTGAGTGTGTTTATCTCGTAATCTTGAGTATAATGTTTATCTCTGTTATCTTGATATAATGTTTATCTCTGTTATCTTGAGTGTAATCTTATCTTGAGTAATTATCCTGTTATCTTGAGATAATGTTTATCTCTGTAATCTTGAGTAAATGTTTATCCTGTTATCTTAGAGTATAATGTTTATCCCTGTTATCTTGAGTGTAATGTTTATCTCTGTAATCTTGAGTATAATGTTTATCTCGTTATCTTGAGTATAGTTTATCTCTGTTATCTTGAGTGTAATGTTTATCCTGTTATCTTGAGTGTATGTTTATCTCTTATCTTGAGTATAATGTTTATCCTGTTATCTTGAGTGTAATGTTTATCTCTGTAACTTGAGTATAATGTTTATCCTCTATCTGAGATAGTCTCTTTCTTGAGTGTAATGTTTATCTCTGTTATCTTGAGTGTAATGTTTATCCTGTTATCTTGAGTATAATGTTATCCTTAATCTTGAGTATATGTTTATCTCTGTTATCTTGAGTATAATGTTTATCTCTGTTATCTTGAGTGTAATGTTTATCTCTGTTATCTTGAGTATAATGTTTATCTCTGTTATCTTGAGTATAATGTTTATCTCTGTTATCTTGAGTATAATGTACACATTATCGAGGCGTGTTTACAGGTACTAGATGTAAATAATGTAGAAATGGTGGAGATATCGTTAGTATGATGCACACACACACACACACACACACACAGCATACATATACAAACATTTATATACACACACACATACCAGAAGGCACTAAAACAAGCACAGATAGACACACACACACACACACACACACACACACACACACACAAGAAAAACGAGTGAATCTACAGTGAGAATATTTTATACACACTAGCTGGTAAGAGCGACGAGGTAATATTTTATTTATGTGTCTGACTAAAAGTGCTGCCATCACCCCGGGAAGACACCAGAACAACCCCAGTACTATAACACACTTAGCCTTAGTACTTTATGGTAACTTTTTCAGTACACACACACACACACACACACACCCTTACGTTTAACACACACACACTCACATTTCATATACATAAACAAAATATATACATAGCTTCTACATACACACACTATTCACTCATTGTCTATACATTCACATACGATATTCATATACATATCCTATACACTCTATGGATAACGAGACGAGGACTAAGGGAGTTGGTTCTATTTATACAGTCATAGGCGTCACGTTGATAGCCACAACACACTATGGTTCTCAGTATGTGTCACGCCCCTACACCCCCTGAAAAGAGAGAGAGAGAGAGAGAGAGAGAGAGAGAGAGTCAATTGTGTTATATCGCAAACACACCAACAGCTCATTACCATATACGCCAATGCTCAGGTCTTGTTTGTTTACATACGTCAGCTGACACGATATATGATCACCACGTGAGCTATGACGTCATTGTTTATGAAGTTATACCACTTATAATACACTCAGGAGGTGTAGGGGGGTAGTGTGTTAACTGTAGGTGAAAGGTGACTGTATGGTGACTGTGGGAGAGTTAGTGATGAGAGTGTATGGTGACTGTGGGAGAGTCAGTGACTGTGAGTGTATGGTGACTGTGGGAGAGCAGTGACTGTGGTGTATGGTGACTGTGGGAGATTTAGTAACTGGAGGTATGGTGACTGGGGGTGGCTGACTGGGAGAGTTAGTGACTGTGGGAGAGTTAGTGACTGTGGAGTGTATGGTGACTGTGGGAGAGTTAGTGACTGTGGGAGAGTAGTGACTGAGGGAGTTAGTGACTGAGGGAGTAGTGACTGTGGGAGAGTTAGTGACTGTGGGAGAGTTAGTGACTGTGGAGAGTTAGTGATGTGAGTGTATGGTGACTGTGGGAGAGTTAGTGACTGGGAGGAGTTAGTGACTGTGGGAGAGTTAGTGACTGTGAGGGAGTTAGTGACTGTGAGGGGTTAGTGACTGTGTGTATGGTGATTGTGGAGTTAGTGACTGGGAGGGAGTTAGTGACTGTGGGAGAGTTAGTGACTGTGAGGGGAGTTAGGTGACTGTGAGAGGGGTTAGTAACTGTGGGAGAGTTAGTGACTGTGGGGAGTTAGTGACTGTGGAAGAGTTGGTGACTGTGGGGAGTTAGTGATTGGGAGAGTTAGTGACTGTGGAGTGTATGTGACTGGGGAGAGTTAGTGACTGTGGGTGGATGGTGACTGTGGGAGAGTTAGTGACTGTGGGAGAGTTAGTGACTGTGGGAGAGTTAGTGACTGTGGGGAGTTAGTGACTGTGGAAGAGTTGGTGACTGTAGGAGAGTTAGTGACTGTGGAGGAGTTAGTGACTGTGAGGGAGTTAGTGACTGTGAGGGAGTTAGTGACTGTGGGAGAGTTAGTGACTGTGGGGGAGTTAGTGACTGTGGGAGAGTTAGTGACTGTGAGAGTTAGTGACTGTGAGGGAGTTAGTGACTGAGGGAGAGAATGACTGTGAGGGAGTTAGTGACTGTGGGAGAGTTAGTGACTGTGGAGGGAGTTAGTGACTGAGGGAGAGTTAGTGACTGTGAGGGAGTTAGTGACTGTGGGAGAGTTAGTGACTGTGGGAGAAGCAGGCTGAGGGAGAGTTAGTGACTGTGAGAAGGGAGTTAGTGACTGTGAGGGAGTAGTGACTGTGGGAGTTAGTGATCGGGAGAGTTAGTGACTGGGAGAGTTAGTGACTGTGGGAGAGTTAGTGACTGTGGAGGGAGTTAGTGACTGTGGAGAGGTAAGGACTGTGGGAGTTAGTGACTGTGGGAGAGTTAGTGACTGTGAGGGAGTAGTGACTGTGGAGAGTTAGTGACTGTGGGAGAGTTAGTGACTGTGAGGGAGTTAGTGACTGTGGGAGAGTTAGTGATCGGGAGAGCTAGGACTGGGGGAGTTATGACTGGGGGAGTAGGACTGTGAGGGAGTTAGTGACTGTGAGGGAGTTAGTGACTGTGGGAGAGTTAGTGACTGGGGGTGTATGGTGACTGTGGGAGAGTTAGTGACTGTGGGAGGAGTTAGTGACCTGGGAGAGTAGTGACTGTGGGTGTATGGTGACTGGGGAGAGTTAGTGACTGTGGGAGAGTTAGTGACTGTGGGGGAGTTAGTGACTGTGGGAGAGCAGGACTGGGAGTTAGTGACTGTGGGAGAGTTAGTGACTGTGAGGAGTAGTGACTGTGGGAGAGTTAGTGACTGTGAGGAGTTAGTGACTGTGGGAGAGTTAGTGACTGTGGGGGAGTTAGTGACTGGGAGAGCAGACTGTGGGAGAGTTAGTGATCTGAGGGGGTTAGTGACTGTGGAGAGTTAGGACTGTGAGGGAGTAGTGACTCTGGGAGAGTTAGTGACTGGGAGAGTTAGTGACTGTGGGAGAGTTAGTGACTGTGAGGGAGTTAGTGACTGTGGAGAGTAGGACTGGGGGAGACAGGAGTTAGTGACTGTGGGGAGTTAGTGGTCAGGAGAATTAATGACTGTGGGAGAGTTAGTGACTGTGGGAGAGTTAGTGACTGTGGGGGATTAGTGACTGTGGGAGAATTAATGACTGTGGGAGGTTAGTGACTGTGGGAGGATTGATGACTGTGGCAGTGACAGGATCAGACACGAGAGACATTGGCGCCAGTTTATCTTTCGAGAGTAAGGTCTCATGACTGCTGGGCCTCTAATACAAGCCCTCATACTACTGTAATGAGGGAAATGAGGGCAATCGGGCAGCAGGGATGGGGAATGAGGGCAACAGGGATAGGAGGATGGGGGAATGGGGACAACAGGGATAGGAGGGATAGGGAATGGGGCAACAGGGATAGGAGGAAGAGGGTAGGAGTATGGCTAGAGACCAAAGATGAGGTATACTCCGGGCGAAGGATGACTGACTACCACACACACAGACAGACAGACAAACAAGGACACACACACACACACACACACACACACACACACACACACACACACACACACACACACACCTCCCTCCCCACTATGTTTTACACTACGACAAATAATTCTTCATTACTAATTTACAATGGTAAAATATGACCATCGTATCTCAACAACTGACTGACTTACGATCGTTTTGTCCCGGTGTGGAGAAAGCTGGGAAGGGGGTGTTGGTGGTGTATTGGACCTCTCGATAAACTTTTAATGGTACGACCTTAATACGGAGTCAAGTGTCGTCTCCATTAGTTGACTGCTCCATTAAATGACTTGAAATACGTGTGTGTGTGTGTGTGTGTGTGTGTGTGTGTGTGTTTGTGAATCATTCTGTTTATTCATTTTTCCTTGGATTCGACTGATGTATTAATGAGAGTCAGCCAACGCCAGAGTCAGTCACCGCCAGAGTCAGCCACCCCAGACTCCAGCCACCACAAGAGTCAGCAATCGCCAGAGTCGATACCGCCAGAGTCACACCGCCAGAGTCAGCCACCGCCAGAGTCAGCCACCGCCAGAGTCAGCCACCGCCAGTCAGCCACCGCCAGAACCAGCCACCGCCAGAGTCAGCCACCAGAGTCAGCCACACCGCCAGAGTCAGCCACCGCCAGAGTCAGCCACCGCCAGAGTCAGCCACCGCCAGAGTCAGCCACCGCCAGGTCAGCCACCGCCAGTCAGCCACCGCCAGAGTCAGCCACCGCCAGGGTCAGCCACCGCCAGAGTCAGCCACCGCCAGACTCAGCCACCACCAGAGTCAGCCGCGAGTCAGCCACCAGAGTCAGCCGCCAGAGTCAGCCACCGCCAGAGTCAGCCACCGCCAGGGTCAGCCACCGCCAGGTCAGCCACCGCCAGAGTCAGCCACCACCAAGGTCAGCCACCGCCAGAGTCAGCCACCGCCAGAGCTCAGCCACCGCCAGGGTCAGCCACTACCGGAGTCAGTCACCGCCAGAGTCAGCCACCGCCTGAGTCAGTCACCGCCAGAGTCAGCCACCGCCAGAGTCAGCCACCGCCAGAGTCAGCCACCGCCAGAGTCAGCCACCGCCAGAGTCAGCCACCGCCAGGTCAGCCACCGCCAGAGTCAGCCACCGCCAGGTCAGCCACCGCCAGAGTCAGCCATCGCCAAGGTCAGCCACCGCCTGAGTCAGCCACCGCCAGAGTCAGCCACCGCCAGTCAGCCATCGCTCGATTACACCTAAATGTTGACATCATATACCTGGTGACTGTCTGCACCTGAGCGTGAGGTTAACACAATGGTAAATTACGTCAGAACTACAGGTAATTCTTCGTGATATATTGTTATTTCATCTGTATCTTTTATCTGATTTTTCACTGTTTTATCATTTTTTTTCTTCACTCATTGAGTACGGTGACAACCCCTTGAGTACGATAATTTAACCCCTTGAGTATCATGATCTGATGAAATGGGATTGTTATCGTTTACTAGAGGGGTTAAAAGTCATCGTACTCAAGAGGTTAAATTATCGTACTCGAAGGCTTATATTATCGTACTTGAAGGGTTAAATCATCGTACTCAAGGGAATAAGTCATCTTTTTTTTTGCTCGCTACTCTTGTATGGTTCATTACTATAGTGTCATCTGATGATCTCACGTCTACCAAACGCGTGATACAAAAGAAACACTTGACACATATTAAGCACACATAACACGGAGAAACATGTGTCATATCCTGAGAAAGCATGACACATCTGGGAAAACATCGCACGTTTAATGGACACGCGAAACATTCGATTAATGCAGGACACGTCTGAGAATAACGACCAATCAGGACACGTCTGAGAAACACGACCAATCAGGACACGTCTGAGAAACACGACCAATCAGGACACGTCTGAGAAACACGACCAATACCTGTTCTGGTTGTTTTGACATGATTGTGACCTCAAGGGCCACTTACACATATTATAGCACATATTTACCCTCCATAAAAAAGTTAAAGATCTCTTCAATCATAAATAAAAAAAACACTATTGAATAATCTAAATGAAAACGAACTGGAGATATTCATTAAACTGATACACACAAGTAAAGTGATGTTCAGGAAAAATCCTTTACATTACAAATGCAGAAATATTACAGTCGAGCTCTGTAAAAACACTGGATCTGTAAGTAAAACACATTACACATGCAGCTGCCCTTGGTGGAGGTGTACAGATGTCGGCCTTGGTGAGCACAAGTGTTCTCAGTGCCTACCACCACACTTGTCCACTACACTGCTATCAACCACACCATCACACGTAACCACCACCATCACACTCCACCTCTGAGATTCACGTCCTCACTATACCGCCACAAACTTAATTTTAAGGGGCTTTAAATTACACTCTGCTGTTGTTTCTATCAGCACTGGCTTCCTCTCACACCAGATGCCCACGTGAGTCTCATCAACCTAAAAATTTCTGTGGTTTTCATTTTATGTTTCTGTTGAACGATCCTCCTTTTTTTTTCTTCAATTTTGTGGTTTAATTACTTGGTTGAATTTGGGTCCCATTTTCTCACCTTTCTATTATTTTATATAGATCTTTTAATCACCGCTCAATTTTCTAGTTGTTATTTCTCAATTTTTTTTCATCAACAACCAATTATCTCAATTTCCCGTGTTTGTACGTTGTTGTTCCTTTTCACCAGCACATTTAATTACCCTCTCCACTAATTACCATCATCAGGTTCTCAATATACCAGGATTTTACCTTCACTCACTCAGTTATTGTACCTAGCATCACTATATTACATTAAACTCCTCTAGTGTCACCAGTCGCCCTTCTTTTAGTCACATCTTATTCACATATTGACTGAGATTTAAATTTTCCCCAGTAGTGACAATATTTTTTTAGCGATTTATAGTTTTCTTAAAATTTACCGACAATATTCTGTTCGGTTTCTTTATGTTACGAGCCTTTGTTACTGTTCTCATCAGTTGTGTCTGTTTACAGGTAAATGGATATTGATACGGCAATCTCACACACACACACACCCTCCAGCACCACCCTCACCCCACATCTCACGCACACACACGCACGCACACACACGCACACATCCTTGACCACCGAAGGGTCAAGACGTACCTGGCGCTCCTCTCGGAGCAGCCAAGTCAACTGTTAAGTTGGCCCATACCAACTCCCTCCCCTGAACCCTCCTCCCCACCGGAATATCAACAAGTTCTCGCCAGAAGTTACTATTTCATTTAGGAAAGGAATGGAACCAGTGTTAAACAGAGGTGAACAGTGGTGGGAAGCAGTGCTTAAGTCGGTGAAATTTCAACTCAACAGTAACAGTCGTACCCAGGTTAACGCTGCACAGTGAGGTCCCCAGGTACCCAGTGATATTAACGGCCCGTAGGACCCAACAACAGCCAGCGATGTGTTAATCCGTCTACGATAGGAAGGCCTGGGACCCGCACCTCCTCCATATAACACCATCTGTGAGGGGAATTACTACACCAATCCGTCTACGATAGGAAGGCCTGGGACCACACCTCACTCATATAACACCGTCTGTGAGGGAATTACTACACCACGTGAGGCCCCATAACACCATCTGTGAGGGAATTGCTACACCACGTGAGGCCCCTGCATAACACCATCTGTGAGGGAATTACTACACCACGTGAGGCCCCTCATAACACCATCTGTGAGGGAATTACTACACCACGTGAGGTCCCTCATAACACCATCTGTGAGGGAGTTACTACACCACGTGAGGTCCCTCATAACACCATCTGTGAGGGAACCACACACCACGTGAGGCCCCTCTAATACCATCTGGGAGGGAGTTACTACACTACGTGTTTGCTGTTCAACACCTACATTAATCTGTATGTTCACTGCATGTTCCTTTACCTTTCTCTAATGAAGGCTTTTGTTAAACCACCAATGTATGTAATAAGTCATTTATGTCCAATGTATATTTTCAGCCTTCGGGCTGCAGAACTTTTTCAATAAACCGTCAATTATTATTATTATTATTATTCACACACTATTTTTCACTCTCTCACCCCCCTCCCAGTCACTAACTCTCTTCCTCTTTTCATTGTCTCTCTTTCACTTTTTTCTCTCTCTCAATTATCCAATTTTCTTTCTTTTAACTCATTTTCCTCTGCTATTCCACTGTTTATAAGGTCACTTGAGCTCTCGTAACTATTAAGGAGTATAACATTGTCTTCCCCACCACACACACACACCAGGGGCCAGGAGAGTTGAGTGCCTGATTCACGCAGGCAGGCACTCTGGCACTCAAACACCTAGGCACTTACACCATACTCACCCCCCCCCTCCCAACCTCTCCTTTCTTCCCAAGGTCACTCAACTACTTGCTGCTCATTACTGAAAAATGCACCACTTTTTCATAAATTTGAGAGAGAGAGAGAGAGAGAGAAAGAGAGAGTGTGTGTGTGTGTGTTCCCTCTACAGATACAGTTGACTCTGGTCATCGCCACAGGATACGAGGCGAGGCGAGGCTACGTCAGTAATGCCCCGCTTAACTAGATCACTGGCGGGTGTTTTGTGGTGAGAGGTGTGGGAGGGAGGGTGTAGAAGGGGGTGAGGTTAAAGAAGAACGAAGAAGTGAGGAAAGGAGTGAAGGAAGGAGTGGTGAGAGGAGTGGAGGGAAGGAGGGAGTGGTGAGAAGTGTGGAGGGAAGGAGGGAGTGGTGAGAAGTGTGGAGGGAAGGAGGGAGGGGGGTGAGGAAGTGAGAAGTAGAGGGAGTAAATTAAGTGTGTGTGTGTGTGTGTGTGTGTGTGTGTGTTTTCGCCTCTAGATTAGCATTACAGTAAGAGTGAGATGTGATGGAGAGGGGGAGAGAGCCTCAACCTTCCTGCCGTAACTCGACCCTCACCGCCAATTACGTCACGTCACTGTTTCATTCACCGTCCCGTCACATGTCTCACATCTCACCTCTCCCTCACGTCACATGTCTCACATCTCACCTCTCCCTCACGTCACATGTCTCACATCTCACCTCGACCTCATATCAACGTCACATCAATCACACCTTTTGTTATAACTCACGTCAGTTCAATCACATGTCACATCACCCACACCCCATAACCCCCTCATATCACATCACCCACACCCCATAACCCCCTCATGTCACAACACCCACACCCACCATCACACTGCACCCGTAACATCTCCGTAAAGGGCGTTGTGTCATTTGAGTTTTGTGATCATTTCTCAAAACATTACGTCACTTTACGTCACTTTTCTTTTAATTCTTGTCTTTTGTTTTCAAAGTCCAAGAATTGAACGTCACTTTTTGTTCCAGATTTAATATTTTTTCTTTTTCATCTAAGTTTCACAATATACGCGCGACTTGTACTGTAGGTTCATTAGTTCCTTGGCGGTGACGTAGGCGTGCGGGAAACTCTCTCCACATACATATATAAGTCGATTATATTAATTATCTGTTATTTGTTTTTCTTTCAAAGTTTCACCACACACTTGAAGGTATGTGGGAGAATCATCAACACACCACAAGTGATGTTAAGAATGTTGTTTTGAAGTGAAATACCGCGTTAGGCGAGTCCTATACGCGCGCCCACTACCAATCATAACTGCTGGCCGTCACTACCACACACACACACACGTCGGTCCTACGTCAGCGGCGCTCGGGTGGTGGCGCACACCGACCCTCACGCCAGCCCACCGACCACTGAGACTGAGCTGGTGGGTGGTTGGTGAGCCTCTCTAGCCCAGCCACCCCGGCCTGCCTGCCGGGACCCTGGCCTGCCTGCCACCACCACAACCACCACCGACCAACAAACCAGCCAACCAGTTCTCAACCCTTCTCTCTTACCATAACCAGGCTTGCAACCCAAGCCATCTGACCCATGATAGGCAACCCAACCAACCACACACACACACACACACACACCTCGGGTTTCAACCTTGAACCTTACACACCACCACCAACTACTTCGACTGATCCACCAAGTCACCCACAACCAAACAAGCCAGCCAACCATTCACTCGACCAGGTCTGCCGTCCACCCACCACCACCTACACACCATCACTATCAACCAGTCAACTAGCATTTACTGTTGGTCAGTATCCGGCAGCCAGCACCACCTACCTACCCCCGCGCACCAAAGGGTCAAACACAACTTGGCATAGGTACTTGTTTCCAAGACAATTATTCTAAAAGTCTGCCCAGTGCCTAAGGGCATTAGCCCACCCGGGCACAGGTCATTTTGAATGACCCACATCAAGGCCTGGGGAGGGGGGGCAATAATATAATTAAATAATAAAAATTATAATTATAATGATGATAATAATAATAATAATAATAATAATAATAATAATAATAATAAAATTAATAAAAATATATAAAAATAAGCAAACAATTATAATACAAGAAAAAAATAATAATAATAAAGACCCACAAATAAATACAAAATAAAAAAAAAGATCAACAGTGAGAAACAATATATGTGTGTTGTGTTGTGTTGTGTTGTGTTGTGTTGTGTTGTGTTGTGTTGTGTTGTGTTGTCAGAGTAAGAGAAACAATTGAGACCCTGCAATTGTGCGTAAATGAGGCAGAAAGTCAGATCAGCAACCTGGGACTTGGTCACAATTTTCGTGGTACCATATGACAGCAGGGTCTACCATTAGACAATACATTATGCTTCCAATATCTTCCCAGGCAGTAGTACCTCCCTGTTTGGTAGACATTAAACAAACACTAAGACTCATATTCCTTTCTCCTTTGGCCTCTCAGGCGAGTGTCGCGGGACAATTCGCACGGTGCGGACTGACAAAGATACGTACTGTAGATATTATTGTAACAGAAGATATAAGAATGTTCTTAACTCGCTGACTGAAGCTCAAACGCTAAAATACTGTAACACCCAAGAATAATCTCAGCACAGCACCGTTACTCTACCTTAACTATATAGTTCACTTAATACAAGTTACAGTATAACCCACGAGGAGTGTTCACCTGCACCTACGAGGAGTGTTCACCTGCACCCACGAGGAGTGTTCACCTGCCCCTACGAGGAGTGTTCACCTGCACCTGAGTGTTCACCTGCACCCACGACAGTGTTCACCTGCACCTGAGTTCACCTGCACCCCACGAGTGTTCACCTGCCCTGTGTTCACCTGCACCACCTGGTGTTCACCTGCACCCAGTGTTCACCTGCCCCTACGAGTGTTCACCTGCACCACAGAGGTGTTCACCTGCCCCTACAGTGTTCACCTGCACCTGTTCGAGGTGTTCACCTGCACCCTACGAGTGTTCACCTGCACACAGTGTTCACCTGCACACCTGCCGAGTGTTCACCTGCACCCACGAGTGTTCACCTGCCTGAGTGTTCACCTGCCTACGGTGTTCACCTGCACCTACGAGTGTTCACCTGCACCTACGAGGTGTTCACCTGCCCCTACGAGGTGTTCGCCTGCCCCTACCCAGACGAGTGTTCACCTGCACCTACGAGGAGTGTTCACCTGCACCTACGAGGAGTGTTCACCTGCACCTACGAGGAGTGTTCACCTGCACCTACGAGGAGTGTTCACCTGCACCTACGAGGAGTGTTCACCTGCACCTACGAGGAGTGTTCACCTGCACCTACGAGGAGTGTTCACCTGCACCTACGACGCGTGTTCACCTGCCCCCTGTCCTTCCAATTATATTCACTGACGTGTACGTACTGTACCTCCCGTCTGATGTTTTAAACAGGGATTTATTTCTCTTTTGGGCTTCCCTACAGCCTACGGGGGCCCCTGGATCATCTCAGGGTAAGGTGGGGCGCACAGGCAGCTTTCTGCACTCACAAGTTAACAGATAAAATCATCATCCTCGACTTTATCTTAATTTAACTGGCAGTAAGATACACACTGGCTAGTTTACTTACTTGATCAATTAGTACAACAGAACCACTATCATATTGTCATCTACGAAGACACAAAAATGGTGAATATAATTTTTGATGTTATAGTGTGTAGCTAAGACCGAGAAATGTGGCTTGATTGGGGAACACAACAACAGATACTGACGACTGAAGAACTTTACTGCGAGTGTCCAGTGTGCCCAGCCAGGCCTTAACACCCACAACTGTATACTGCGTACTTGTTGCTGTCACACACACACACACACACAATTTAAAAGGGTGTGCGCGTCTCCTTAAATGACTAATGAATTCTATGACCAATAATTATTCAAGAAATTAATTTAAAACTTCGAATAAGTTGCGTTAGGTGTGTGTATATATATATATATATATATATATATATATATATATATATATATATATATATATATATATATATATATATATATATATATATATATATAATAAACAACACAAACTTACGAAAGCCAAAGCAGTGAGATGTGTGTCGCCTCACCCATCACAGTGACCCACCACTACCGCCTCACCCATCACAGTGACCCACCACTACCGCCTCACCCATCACAGTGACCCTACTACCTCACTCAGTAACCCTACCTCCTCACCCTTCACAGTAACCCACTACCGCCTCACCCATCACAGTGACCCACCACTACCGCCTCACCCATCACAGTGACCAACCACTACCGCCTCACCCATCACAGTGACCCACCACTACCGCCTCACCCATCACAGTGATACCACCCACCCGCCTCACCCATCACAGTAACCCACCACCACCGCCTCACCCATCACAGTAACCCACCACTACCTCACCCATCACAGTGACCCACCACTACCTCCTCACCCTTCACAGTAACCCACCACTACCGCCTCACCCATCACAGTAACCCACCACTACCGCCTCACCCATCACAGTGACCCACCACTACCGCCTCACACATCCTGATGACCCACCACTACCGCCTCACCCATCACAGTAACCCACCACTACCGTCTCACCCATCACAGTGACCCACCAACTACCGCCTCACAGTGACCCACCACTACCGCCTCACACATCACAGTAACCCACCACTACCGCCTCACACATCACAGTGACCCACCACTACCGCCTCACCCATCACAGTAACCCACCACTACCGCCTCACACATCACAGTAACCCACCACTACCGCTTCACCCATCACAGTAACCCATCACTACCGCCTCACACATCACAGTAACCCACCACTACCGCTTCACACATCACAGTGACCCACCACCACAATACACCATTAGTACCAACACATCACAGTTCCTAGAATCATCGATACAAGTGGACGGTAAGTGTATGGTGCTCCGTGTTGACAGTACCAGGCTAGATGAAACACTCACTACAACCAGACGATATTATACACAAATAAATAACATCTATTAAAATACAACATTGAATTAAATTGCTCTTCTTTCTTTCTTTCTTGTCTGGTAATACTGAATCTAACGCTGGGTAGGAGTTTTTTTATTTTATTTACGTGCGTTATTTTCACACAATAGGTGAACCCACATCCAGTCTCCCCCATCCCAATTGATGCTCATAGCTACCCACCACCTCCTGCAAAAACCCAATCTCTCTCTCTCTCTCTCTCTCTCTCTCTCTCTCTCTCTCTCTCTCTCTCTCTCTCTCTCACCACACAAACACGTGCCTCCAGTCTCAGCCCCGCCCACCTGGATAATATGTCATCTAATGGGGTCAGGGGTTAATTATATTGCACACCTGAGTGGCCGCCTCAACACTCAGGTAACTAATTCACGTTGACGGGGTAAATCATTCGGTAAATTGCAATTATTACCCAATTATAAAAAACAAGCAGATAAATAACATCACATGAGGATGAGACACCCCAGCTTATTTCATCTTAAGATTTAGCATCCTAAAATTAACCTAACCTAACCTAACCTAACCTAACCTAACCCCCACAGGTAACTTGAGGGTATTTAATTATCAGGTGATATAAGTTTGTGGGTGGGGGTTAATCTTGAGGTGATCCGAAAAATAGAAACAAGATGGGGAGATAAATGTTGACTCGACAAATTATCCACAACTTCAATAACAAACACGACGATTAGAATTCCATGAAGAACACGACTAATTTAAGAACAGAATATATCACGAAGAACTCCACGGGGAGCAGGCAAGAACATCTTGGCTGGATTGAGTGTAGTTAAGTTTGGTTGTGTGAAGTAAGGTTAGGTTGGGTAGATCCCAGGTCAACATGACGAGTGATCTTGTCGATAATTGTGAGGTATACAAGGTGTGTGTGTGTGTGTGTGTGTGTGTGTGTGTGTGTGTGTGTGTGTGTGTGTGTAAAATAATAATAATATAATAGTAATAATAATAATAATAATAATAATTAACGGTTTATTGAAAAAGCAAGGCAGCCGGAAGTCTGAAGATATACAGTTACATAATGGGGAATGGGTCTCTTGATGGACAAATAATATACAAGTAACCTATTTGATACAAATGTGATATACAATGACTAAATGGGGAGAAGGTCATATACTACAGGGTATTTCAACATAGTGACAGTGCAAAAAGGTAAGATTGACTGGGAGGAAAACACTGGTTGATTACGAGTTGTTGATAATTTTTACAATGGTTAGGACTGGGCTGTTCTTAAAGCGATCAGTACGTGCTCGTATGGGCTGGGTGTGGTTGTGGTGTCGAACAGCAATTCGCAGACGAGGGATCTCGGGTGGTAGTAGGAGCCGGTGTCGAGGATGGTGTAGAAGGCTTCTCACCAAATTTGCAGATGAGGTCGTGATGATGGTCAGAGAGAACCGAGAGGGTCAGTGTGTTGAGCGCTTCTTGATATGGGGAGTAGGAAGGGGAGAGAATAATTTTGCACGCCCTCTTCTGCACTTTTTCTAGGTGTTTACGTTGTGTGGCATTTAGGGAGGATGACCAGGCAGGTGAGGCATAGGTGAGCTTGGGAAGTATGAATGTTGTGTAAACACAGAGGAGCTCGTGTGCAGGAACTCCGAGGGACTTGAGTCGGCGGAGGAGGTGGAGACGGAAACTGGAGGATTTGACAACTTCACTGACGTGTGTTTTCCAATTTAGTTTGTTGTCTATAGTGACGCCGAGGAGCTTAGTGGAGTCTACAACCTGGAGTGTGTTGGGGTCTAAAGTAATGGAAGGGGGTGGGACAACGTCGGAGGGGAGGTTGATGTGCATAACCATGGTCTTGGTATGGCGTGACGTGATTGTTGGTGGCCCAATTATGGAGACTTCAATAAATACCGGAGGGCGGTATAGTCGGGAGCGGAGTTGTTGACACTGATCCCAATGGTGGAGTCGTCGACATATTTCCAGCGAACAGGGGTATCTCTTTGGGCATCATTGATGAGCATAAGGAAGCAGAGCGGTCCCATATTGGTGCTTTGGGGACGCCACAGGTGAGTGACTGAAAAGTGGAGACAGCCCCTCGGAAGCGTACAGCTTGGCGTCGGTCACTAAGGAAGTCTGTAAGCCATAGTATGAGACTTCTTCGAAACCCGAGGTCGATAGCTTTGTTGATGATTAAATTGTGGTCGACTAGGTCAAATGCCTTGGTGAAGTCAATGAAGGCGACAGCCACAGACGTTTTTCGTTTTTCCAGATGGCGGTATATGTAGTCGAGAAAGCTGACAAGACAATGAGTGGTGGAGGAAGTTTTCATATTGCCAAATTGCTGAGGATCTATGGCGCCTGTGTGTGTGTGTGTGTGTGTGTGTGTGTGTGTGTGTTGAAGAACTTATACTGTACATCTTGTGTTCCGTTAAGACCATCAAACATGTTAACAGATTGTGACACACACACACACACACACACACACACACACACACACACACACACACACACACACACACACACACACACACACGGAAGGTCAGGAATGGTAACAGCATTAAAAGATCATATTAGATAAGAGGCACAATTTCCCACGTATATAACACAGCTCGTAGGTCAACTCTGTCTCTCTCTCGGCTAATTTGTTGAGACCACAACACGTCAGATGCCGTCCTTGACACGCACACACCCAGGCCTGCTGCCCACCGTGCAGAACCAAATACACAATGTGCTTGAATACTTCTCACGCAAATGTGAATAACAAAGTGTGAGGCCAGACATACTGCCTCACACGCCTGTACTCACGCATTTGTGAATAAGTTACCCTTTATGTATAGGACTAAACAAATAATGTAATTGAAATACTGTGTAACATTCAGTGCCATAATATCCTGACCACGGGGGTTAATTATTATGACCCGTTGTAAACTCTACTCTGTAATCCTTTTGCGCTACCGCTCACAGGATGAGTGTGGGGTGCACAATAAAGTAGCCGCTGTAAGTGGCAAAATAAAAAATCAATGCTGCCCACCAACCGTCACGGACTGTACTCTTGTCCTGTCTCCACGCACTCAGAAGCACCCGGGCCTGCCACCTACCCGTCACGGACTGTACTCTTGTCCTGTCTCCACGCACTCAGAAGCACCCGGGCCTGCCACCTACCCGTCACGGACTGTACTCTTGTCCTGTCTCCACGCACTCAGAAGCACCCGGCCTGCCACCTACTCGTCACGGACTGTACTCTTGTCCTGTCTCCACGCACTCAAAGCACCCGGCCTGCCACCTACCCGTCACGGACTGTACTCTTGTCCTGTCTCCACGCACTCAAAGCACCCGGGCCTGCCACCTACCCGTCACGGGCTGTACTCTTGTCCTGTCTCCACGCACTCAGAAGCACCCGGGCCTGCCACCTACC